AGTGTATCAGAAGACGGAAAAAGTAGTAAATTATTTCAACTCTGAACTCAGTTTGGAGTCAAAATGAGTGTATCAGAAGCGGAAAAAGAAGTAGATTATTTCAACTCTGAACTGCTATTTATGTCTTCTGATACACTCACTTCAGAGTTGAAAAGAGCATATTCATCTTCCAATATGCTTAACTGCTTTTTCCGTCTTCCAAAACACTCATTTCAACTCCAAGCTGCTTTTTCCATCTTCCGATACACTCATTTCAACTCCGAACTGCTTTTTCCGTCTTCCAATACTCTCATTTTAACTTGAAACTTCTTCTTCATTAGCCGTCAGACCAGTCTGGAGTTGTAGGTGTTGGATTTGGAGCGCCTACATATGCAAGACTGCATGTAGGCGCTTATTTGAGCTGAAAATTGAATGTAGGCGCTCAAAAATAGCGCCTACATTTCAAATTAGATATGTAGGTGCTTGAAAATTACGCCTACATTCTGAAATTTTGAATGTAGGCGTAACCAAATGACACCTACATGGGTTGTTTATCATGTAGGCGTCATTTTAGATGGTTTTCAGCGCCTACATCATAAATGTAGGCGCTTTTTTGTGGGAAACATCCATGTAGGCGCTGTTTTGGCAGCACCTACATGGTTCTCTTGTGGGCTGCAAATAGCAATGGCCTATCTTAATCCTTGCTGATAATCACATCTTCCATCAGGAGCTTGCTAATCCAATTGTCACAAAGCATTTAGTTTTTGTTCCTGAGTACGACACTAATGTTCAGATCAATAGATTGTCTCAATCCAAAAAATGGCTGGAAGGATTCTCTCGCACCCAGAGGGTGCAAATGATTCCTTCTGCCAACGGACACTTCTTCCTTTATGAGCCAGTTTATCAATCTTCAGGACAGTTAATTGTCCCAATTTTCTTCTTTCAGCAGTCAGGCCAAGCTTATGCCAAATGCTTGAAGGCTTCAACTGTATCTCAGGGTATTAATCATGGATTACAAATTGTTGTTGATTCGCACCAGGAGTTTGATTCTCCTTTGCTAGTTACAGTTTCAATTGATTCTATTAGAAAAACTTTCATAGATTCAAAAGACGAAAATGGTCTTTCTCTGGAAGAACGATGCGGAGGTGTAATGTATCGTACGTGATTCTTTTTGACACTTCCTTCTTTTGACACTTCCTGCTTGGTCTGATCCCTTTGATTTGGTATACAATCAGAACGTAATCATGATGGCGATCAGTACCAAGAGATACCTCTGCCGAACCCATGGCGAACTAAAGCAAATGGTAAAGTTATTCGACACGTCCCGATCACACTATATTCAGATGATACTTCCGGAAATGTTTCAAAAAAGTGGAATAAACACATGAGTTATTATTTCACATTATCCGGTTTACCTCCTGGAATGACAAATCAGGAGTACAACATTCACTTTCTGGCTACATCAAATACATCTAGCGCTCTCGAACTTGGTGATCACGTAGTAGACAAATTAAAGTACTCATTTATTCAACAAAACCTCAATTTGATAGTAGTGCTTACATTTAACTTGTTTCTCTATGTACGCAGCACACTTGGCACCGAGGGATTTTCCACCTATGACGAAATTCTGAAGGAGGATGTGCTTGTCATGGTTGTTCCTCTCTGTCATCTTGGTGATTCTCCTATGCACGCGGAGATCTTGAACACAACAAATCCTTCAGTTACTTTGAACCCTTGTCGGATATGTATGTTGAGTGTTGAAACAATTGCTGAGAAACAAGATGCTAAATATACTTGCGACTTTGTGGGTTTAAAACATGATGAGGTATGTGTATTCAGTGATTATCATGTACCCTGGAAAAAATTAACATATTTGTAATTTTTTGTAATTTTTTTAGGGAGGACCTAAACCACGTGAATGGGATGTGACGAAAGCACGAACTGTGGGACTTTGGAACCTTCTTTGCAATCCCAAAAAATACACCGAATTCTTGAAGAAAGCAAAAGATTATGGAATTCGTGATACTATGAATGTTTGATTTGTTGAGTGGTTTCATGAGCTACACCGAGATAAAGAATATTCAAATGAAGAGGTTCAAAAAATGTTTGACGATCTCAATGAAAAATTTGGAGAACATCTATTCAACCCCTTTTTGCGGCTACAAGGTCTGAGTCTCAATTTGTTCATTTCATATTTGTTTGTACTGTATAAATCTGACGGAATTATATCAGGGTTTGACGCACATAAAGATACGCCTGTGGAGATTCTCCATGTTGTTTTACTCGGGGTTATCAAGTATTTGTTGAAGGATGCGATGGATGGTATTCCGGATTCAGCTCTGCCTTCAATTTTGGCACGATGGAAATCGTTTGATACTTCCGGCCTCAAAGTTCCACCGATTCAACCCAAGACGATGACTCAATTCTACCAGAGCTTAGTTGGAAAAGATTTTCGAACGATCATACAAGCAGTACCTTTTGTATTGTATGAACATATCTCCTACGAGCGACGACGTATGTGGACGGCATTAGCACATCTGTGTTCCTTTATCTTTCAAACCTCCATTACGAACTTTTCTTCCTACGCGAAAAATCTGAAGATCTTGGTCAATATCTTTCTTGGTCACATCATCCGATGGACGGCACAGTGGACAAACAAACCAAAGTTTCATATGCTAGTCCACTTAGTAGAATCAATCAAACGGTTTGGCCCATTATGTTTAGTTGCAACTGAAAAAAACGAAAGCTTCAACGGTGTAACTCGCTTAGCTTCAATTCATTCAAACCGTCACGATCCAGGCTTACACATCACAACCACCTTTCTCTTTGCATGTCTGATGCGAATGTTGCTATCTGGTGGCTCATTCTGGGATGAGAAGTATCAGTGTCGAGCAAAAGCAGGAAAAGAAGTACTTAATTTATTCTTGAATAATGAATGGGTTCGAAATAGTTTGGCTTATAATCAATTATGGAATTCACAAGGGTCAATTTCAATGAAAGGTTTGTGACAATACCTTTTAATTTGTGTTATTTAATATTCTAATTATCTGATTGCAATTATCATGCTATAGGCAATGTCAATGAATCCATAGCACCGAGTGAAATCAAAGAAGCATTCCCAGAATCCGACTGGTCGCAAAAGAAAGAAGCATATCTTCGATCTCACCAGCGTGTTCGTATGGAAAACTTCGTTTTGATGGTGCTACCTGGCGACCACACCCCAAAAGTAGGGCGAGTTGAAAGCTTCTGGCACGGATGTTGAAAGAGTAGTTTGAAATTTTTGGCCAAAGTTAAGGTTTGCCGCTTGAATGAGGATATTGATAATTTCTATGGTTTCCGTGGGTTGACTGTGACACAAGAAATCTTGTGGATACCTGTTGAGGTGAGTCTTTTGAATTGAAAAAAATTCACAAACATTGATTCGAAAAACTTTATATGTTTGACAGAAAATAAAGTGCGTGCTGAATGTACAGCATAATTGCCATTTGTCCAAGTGTCAGCCGCTGGCTAGTCCACCGAGACACGACGGACAAATGCCAGTCAAATCACCATATCAAATTGAACACAAGTCAGTCAACGAGTACATCCTGAACTTGGGTGCGCTCTATTCAGCTGAAGATCATCGATTTGTGGCAAACATTAAATACAATCAATGGACAAGCGAGGAATGGGAGGAATGTATTAAGATGGGTATCAACAATTGGAAAGATACTCAAGCAAAAAAAGATAAAGCCAAACAAGACAAAGCAACCAAGGATAATAACCAAAAGGGAAAAGGGAAAGGCAAGAAAAGGAAATATGAAGATATCTTACCGCGTGAAGATATTGACCCAGCGTTGTTTGACTTTTGAAACTGCTTCATGTTTATTTTATATGCAAAACATTGAAATTCACAGAACACTTATATTTAGACTCCTTTCAATTCACCAGAATTGTATCTCTACATGTGCAATTTCTTCTCAACCTCTAGCTTCCAACTTATGCTCTTATATATATAAATGAAGAAGATCTTGTTTTTTTTCTATTATGATTATTACTCTTCTTGGTTTTTTCTTCTTCTTTATCTTTTTTCCTTTTTATAAAAAAATCAATACTCTTCTTGTTGTTGTTGTTTGGATTGATCAAAACATAAATGAAGAAGAAGTAGTCTCGGTTTTATTTAGATCATTTGGTATGTCTGAGCAAACGCTCAAGTGAACGTGTTTTGAATGATGTCCTAGGCGTGCTGAAGCAATGAATGAAATCTCTCAAAGAGGACTTATTAAATCTCACAGATGAAGAAAATTTTGAACATGAGATTGAAACGAGTAAATATATTCTTTGAAGGAGGATAAGCTGAGTCGGCCAATCTTTCGATTTTTCTCAGAGTGACCGATTGTGGACGCAGAGCTCCATGAAGGCAGCAAGTTTCTTGCACTTCAGTCGTGGCCGAACTGGCATGCACATTCATCATCAAATGATGTTTTGACAACTTGAAGTTTGAACAATTTCAAATCAACCACATCATTTTGTTCACCGTTCAACGACTGTGGATCTTAAAGTCTTTTCACTTCTTTCGTTATTGTTCTCCTTCTCAACTCTCAGCAATCACCATGCCAGAATCCCGACGCCCAACCTTGCGAACCCGTGATTCGCGTTCAGCCTCACCACGTAAGTTCTTTCCCTCCTTGTGGTTCAATCTTTGTCTAAAACATGATTTGGATTTGTGAAGCTTTAAGAGCCGATGCTCTTCCTGCGTCATTGAGATTTGTTGGTTCAAACACTTCTCAAAGCAATACCAATAACAATGGTATATTTCCTCTATTTGTCATCTGTGTATCAAGAGTTCCTAATCTTCTTTCGCTTCAGGTGGTAGGGATGAGGAAGAAAACGATACTGATGAAGAAATGGAAGAACCGAGAAACCAAATACCAGCCCATTCTCCTACTTCGTCTCCAAATCATTGATCTTCACCGTTGGATTCCACCAATCAAGTCCCTTTTTGGTCTGCACAGCCCGGAGTCCCTTCAACCAATCTACCTATGGCACCGGCAGATCGAGCTCAATGGAATCAGCTTGCTGACATCTTTGAACTCGATTCTAAACATCGGGCAGAAGCACTTAGAATAAGTTCTGTGAGCCAATCTTCCATCAACAAGTTACCCTCGTTACTGACCATTGTATTCTTTTAGATTACTGGGTCTGAAAATCAATATCACGCATCAGTCTGCCTCTTGCAGAAGACACGTCAAGATATGGATAATGTTGTTTCGCAACTTTGTTCTGCTGCCAGCTGGAAGCCTGCCGCTGATCTGGGGGTAAGCACGTTTACTTAAGTGTAGACAGAGTGTACTGACCATTTGTATGCCCAGACCCGACTTACTAAGATCATACGCGAAACGCTTCAAGACCATACAATGGAATCGTATACCTACAGAGTCGATTCCAAAAAAAAGCCCATACAAAAATCCTTTGAAAAGATCGCTATGGTATGTATCCTTTTTATACATCCTCCTCTGATTTTCAGCAGTTCAGTACTCAATTACATATGTAGAATGCTATAATCAACCAATCCGAGTCATGGAAATTAGAAAATTTACCTCAAGACTTTGGTAGTACGTTGACCGATCTAAAGAAACATGAGGCGTTCATGAAGTTCTTTGGAGCCAAAGTTAGACATGTCCGGGACGACTTCAGGATTGCTGTATGTCCATCTCTTTCGAATCTCATGATTCCACTGGCTAAACTAACCTTGCTATCTCAAAGCTCTTAACCAATATACTTGTAACTCACGCAAACATAGATGAACCCGCACAACCAGTGCCAAAGCTGTCTGAATTGCTATTACTGGTAAGTTCAGTTTGATCTCTCTCTAATACTGGTCATGTCAATCCGTGGTTCTACTTTGATCATGATTGATGTTACAGTTGACTCGGTTTTTTAATCCACAAGATCCTCGCACTGCAAAAGAAATTGAGGCTGATATGGACTCGAAGGCCAAAGCTCGATTCGCTTATCTGGTCAGTATCATTGAAGTTACATTCAATTTTCTTTCTTAGCCGATATTGTTTCTCTTTCAGAGAATCGAGGCTGCGATATATAACTACACCAACCAAGTAGACCGCAAGCTGCGACCTGGTCAATCGCATTGGGCATGGGTGGATCAACAGCTTGAAAATCTTTGTGGTCAAAAAAGGTCTTATCGTCGAGCGTAAGTGGGCTGATAGAAATCTATGTCAATCAACATATCATTGACTTTGCGCTTCCTTGTACCAGTTTTGATACTATTGTTATAGCAACTGATCAAGGGTTTTTTGATGGAAATAAGTCAATCTTCGACATCAAGGAAGATGAAAAGTTCAGGGTTCCCACCGAAGATGATGTCTCACAAGCGATGGAATTTATGTCTTCAAACACCAACTAAAAATCTATGTACACTTGTATGTATGAGCATTTGGCGTTGTCCATTTCTCGCCCTATCTGCCTTCTGGCGCATTCATCTGATCTTATAATCGACTAGTGTGATCACTTCTCAATGTTCATCTATGTAGTCTTCATCCTCTATGCTCTCTTTTTCCTTGCATACTTATATAGCTTGATTTGAATAATTTGAGTATCAATGTATTATTTTACCTAAGCTATCTTGATCGAGTCAAAACGAGAACCCGATAAACTGTTACAAAACGAGATGCTCGATGACAGCCCATAGGATGTCCTCCACACGCCTCGAGCCAGTCATCTCACAGACGCTCTGAAGTTTGTCCTGAACTTGTTAGGAGGGACTCTTGAAGGGTAGCGTGAAGCTTCCCTTAGGGGATTTCCGCTGCTGCCGTTCTCACGACAGCCCTCCCCGATGCCGACAGATCTCCCACCAGGGGTTCCTCAGCCCTGCCTACGGACCAATTTTGGAAGTCCGACCTCCGATGTCCGAGGCAGAGTCTTGCAGAGCGCTCCGTCAGGACGCCCGTCCGCCTGCAAAAAAAAACGGGCATCCCAAGGACATCCGAATGTCCTTGTGGTGTACTCTCACTATTTCTTCCAAGTCATGTAAAATGTCTTGTGAGTGAAATTTTTCAAAGATGATCTGAGACTTGCAAGGCAGAGAAGGAACCGCAACAATTTTGCCCAGTAGCCCATGTCTCATATGTTGCCTATTCTTGTTCAAGATCAATCTGAACGCACAACCAAAAGCATGAGCGCTTCCCAATTTAGTCACACTCACCTCGCATCTAAAATTCTGGGAGTTGTACCACGTGACCTTGGAGGTGAGCGAGATTCAAGTTTCAACGCGTGCGGAGTTTGTGTTAAACCTATTTAGTCTTGACCCACAACTTGACCTGAATTGTCGGTCTGAGTTGAATCAGTTGAAAACCTGATCGAAATCCTTTAAAAGCCAAACCATCGATCACTCTTTTCACAAAATGTCCAGACTCAGGATACTTTCCCATTCCTCACTGAGGTTTCATCTCAACTCTCACCATCCAGCTCGTACTTTCTCAACTTTTTCCACTGTTTTCTCCTCGCCTTCCCCTTCAGATCTACCACCTAAACCTACTCAAGCAGCTTCTTCATCTCCTAAGCCTACCTCCTCAACATCTGCACTCGATTTCAAACTTGCTCATCCTCGACGCAGGCCGCCTCCACTACCGGTTATCGATCCACCCCGTTGGAGTGCCGAACAAGCTGTCACCAATATCTTGTATGCCCCTTCTCTTCCACATACTCCCACTTGTTTCTTATCACTCACCTCCGTCATCACCCTCCAGATACAATACACCCCCTCCTTCCGTCGAGCCCTTCAATCGCCATGTTCTCAATTGTCTTGTACAGAATGAGCCCGGTGTACTGTCCCGCGTTTCAGGAATCCTCGCAGGAAGGGGCTTCAACATAGAGTCTCTAGTCGTTTGTGCTACTGAGATCCGCGAATTGTCTCGGTCAGTTTGCATTCACACTATATGCCATCTTGCTCTCCATCATGCTTACCATGCGTTCTTTACTCTCGTAGGATGTGTATCGTCTTGAAAGGTCAAGAGGCTGTGGTTGAGCAAGCTCGCAGACAACTTGAAGACTTGGTAAGGCTCCCATCTCCATATGTTCAATACTTTCTACTCCACCGCCTCCGGTCCCATTCTATGATGATACACTTTTGAATTTAGATGACGAGTCTGATGGTCCATCACGGATTTATGAAGACTCCACAAATTGCTACCTTATCTACATTATCTGAACTCCTTGCTTATCCCCGTACCCTACCGGCTCATGAACGTTGTTCAACTCATCACAGAAACTGATTTGTTTGATCTCCGCTTCTTACTAGGTTCCTGTTTGGGCAGTACTTGATTACACTCACAACAAGAAGATTGAACGCGAATTGCTTCTGGTCAAGGTGTCCATATTGGGCCCCGAGTACTTCGAAGATCAGTTACATGCCAAGACCAACCCATCCAACCCTCAATCTTACGCCCAAACCACACCTCGTGCAACTGGCTCGGAACAGCACAACGATTTCGGGGAACTCAGTCCGTCTGAGGCTCTACGACAGAAACATCTGAACCTTCAAGCGTTAACCAATCTTGCAGGCCATTTTGGTGGTAATGTCGTAGATGTCTCGCATGACTGCATCGTTGTCGAGTTGAGTGCCAAAACGTCGAGAATCGATGCTTTCCTCAAGTTAGTCAGGCCTTACGGTATCCTTGAAGCTGCCCGTACTGGTACTATGGTCATGCCTCGCGCCCCAATCCAATCTGACTGGCAAGGCCTGTCTGACAGCGATGAGGGCGATGAAAGTGAAGCT